GGAATATTCCCTGAATTATGGACTTTTCTAAGTACGATCTAACCCTGCAGAAAAAGACTCCATCACATTTCAAGGCTAATCAGGACCAAAATGTTTCCTCAGGTTTATTTGTCAGCCAAGATCAGTTTTGTGCAGAGTAGCATAATCCATAAATTTAAAAAAACCCAAAAAAACAACCCAACAGTAAGGCTAAAATAATTTTATGTGTTTTTCTCCAAAAGATAATAATTGCATACTAATAAGAATGCTTCCTCACAGACATGATCATAGTTTTGTACCTGTTACCATGTTAAAACTAATGTAATGAATGAATGCTTAAGTTGAATGTAAATTATAAACCTATTTTCCCCCGATTCCTTTGATTCAACTAAGCAGAATTGCAAAACAAGATTGAGAAAAGCCAGTTACAGCCAGTCTTCCATGTATTTATGATGACCTGGTGACAAAAAATGGTGCCTGAACTGCATTATCCCCCTCCAGAGCAGGTTTGATGTTTGCCTTTGTGGCATGGCTTTTTTAGAAGATGATCTAATGCTGTGCTGGTGGGAAGTGGTGCTGGTGATCCCTGGTGGAGATAAAGTTACCTAAGCTGCTCACTGTTGTTACAGATGGCACAACTCTTCATCCTCCTGACAGACCTAAACCTAATCAGCTTCACCTAATGACAGATTTAAACTCTTATAACTTATTGCCTTCTCCAGCTGGGTCTCCACTATTTATATTCATGTTCTCATTTTCCACTCATTTTCCACAATATCCAGTTTCAGAAGTTCACTCTTAATTTACAGGTGTATTTTTTTCTTTGGCATTTCATCATCATTAAGGAATATGCTAGTTGCAGGCTTTACAGTACCTTAACTCAATCTCAGTTTTGGTTTGGGGAGGGTTCCCTGCAGAGCAGGCTCACAAAATAGTTGTTATACATAATTATGCACAAAACTGGGACTTTTAAGCAGGGATTGTAACACTGAATATATAAAATTTCTGCTTTCAGTAGGAAACCATGACAGCATGCCGGCAACTAAGTACCAGTCACCAGTACCAAAATATGGATATTAAATATATTTCAAGTCAGTGAAATGAGCACAAAATAAGGCCTACAATTGTTTGTCGAGTTTAAAGTTAATGTGAATAAAGATTTAGGTTTCTTCTTCTACCCAAATGTGAGTCTTTCCCTCTTGTTTAAGTAAACTCTTAAAGATTACTTGGTGATCTCCTGTGCATCTAGAAAGGTGTAATATTCTTCTCTGAAAAGTGTGATAGCCCACAGATTGACTCTTCAAAACTCTTCATATGTAAGAACAGAACTTGCCACAAAATGATATCATGAGATATCATGATATATTAATGCAAAATATTAATGCAAAAGGCTCAAGCATAGTTCCCAAAACTCTTGAAATCTTTTTACCAGTAGAAGTGGTTTAATAGTGCCATGAATGAAATATTTGTTTTGGGCTGGTGAGTTTTCATGCAGGAACTAAATATTGCATGTAGGACAATTAAGAAATGTTAAGGCTTGTTTATTAAAATGAAAGAATATTTCCATGGTCAGGGCTTCTGACACGTTTCACCCCTTGTGTGAGCACTGTGTGATTTAAAAGTCTACCAAAGAAACTGAAAAAAAAAAACCAAAAACACTTTATGTAGACCATGAATTTAAACCTCCTGCCCCTCGTATCATGCAAAGATTTTCATCTGGGTTCAATAAAACTGTGCAATACTCCAAAAGTGTGGCTAAAATCAGGTCTTTCCCATCAAGAAAGTGGTTAAGTATAATTTCCAGTTTACAGTTGCAAGTTGCATGGAAACTGTGAGTAACAGCAATGTAAAAAGTAGGCATGCAACTCAGCACAAGAGATACTAATGATGACTAATAATTGTATTTTCAATAGAGTCAATATGCTGTAGATCTAAAACACAGACACAGAAATACAGGCAGCAGATCCCACTGCTGTTAGAGCTGACAGCTTTGCATAATGGAGCACGCACATCCCCCTGAAGTGCTGGAGAATAAAAGCACACATTAAAATCCAGGCAGATAAGGTCAAAACCTGCAGATTTATGAAGCAATGCTGTAAAAACTGGGATTTTCATACTTATGCAGCTTCTTTGTAGTTTTTTTTCCCCCTTCCCCTACCCTTACTGCAGCAGTTGTGTTTCTGATTCAGCCAGGAGTTGCTCACAACGTGAGTTTGTCAACATCAAAAATTGTTTGTGCTTCAGAAGATCTAGAAGAATCCTCTCTGCCTTTTTTTGGAGGGTTTGTGAAAATCTGACACTGAACCCTCAGTGCACAGAAATGGTGCTGCTTGGCTGACACTTCACAGAATCACAGAAAACAGAGCTGAGGAATAAATCCTTCCCTATTTTTGTATGTCCCCAAAAGAGGTGCTTTTTTACAGGTCTATTGGAGGAAACACGTTTTGGGAATGGGACAAAATGTTCTGAAATAGCATTTACCAAAGAATTCCTTTGTCTCAGTTGGTCAATTCCTCAGATGTATTCTGCAGAAACATCTATAGTGTTCATTCACTGATAAAGTTTTCTGGTTTATTTCATTGTTTCTAGGGAGATTATCTCATCATCCTTCTTTCTTACTCACAATTCTACTGGTCTTGTTCCCTTCTAAAATATCCCTGTAGAAAATATGACAGCTGTTCATATCAAAACAAAAATATTAGCACTATATTAATCACATTATGTTTTGGTAGCAGGAAAAAACTGTTTTCACCCAGTCAGGTTGCCATGAACCAGCAAATCGTTTCTAATTACTTACACTCAGAAAAGCAGATTTCATCTAGGTAATAAAATAAATCATTCTTACCTTTTATTTATGCTCAGACCCATAAAAGTCCTACAAAATGCCTGCAGCACACTACTGTTTACTCATGAAGCAAATAAATATAAATATCTGAATCCATTTGCAGGGACTCAGATCTGGCTGAAGCTTGGGTTTGACCAAGAATAAAGAGGGTTGGCTGGATCTTTTGCTTGCTGGGAAATCAGGCAAGTAAATGAGTCTGTCAAGTCCTAACTAGCATTTAATGACAAATTTAATTTGGCAAGAATATATAGTTCAGTATTTTGTCAAGCTTGCTGAGGCTTGTATATTCTGTATATGGATCTTGACCAACTGCTGTATTTTCAAAGGATGCTGCATTAAAGAACTTCTAATGAAAACATACAAAACTTAAATCAAACTTTGTTTCACCATGTGATTTTTAGTACTTAAAAAAGGATTATGTCAAGAAAAATAAAAACTATAATCTCTGATGGCTTGACTCTTATCCTGGCTGTCAGCAGTGAAGCTCTTCAAACCATTTGTTTCTGCAGTTAAATGTGGAATCAATTAACTGCACTTAAGCCATTCATTTAGCTTAAAGCTTAGATAATAGAAGTAGGGTAAAATGCTGCTCTTTTCAGCCTTGTTGTGGATTTTACTGATAAAACCCCAACTATAATGTAACTCAGATCAGCTTTGATTGGCTTTTCCCTACACTAGGTTGCTTCCCACAGGTTGTTACAATGCTTGATGAAAACACTCACTAGGAAATTCATGCAAATTCGTGCAAAGTGCCTCCTGATCTCCTTAGGCCAGGACACCCAAGCCTGTCATTGTCACAGGACTCTGCCCTAGGGATGGGAAAACGACTGGATGTGATGCAGATGCAGATGGAGATGTCAGGTTGCTTAAAACTAAGCCTAAAATCATCCACCCGAAGGCCCATCTGACTTTTCTGGCCAAATACCAGCATTTTTTTCCCTGTAAAAATCCTTATAAAATAAGATTTATAAGTTCTCTGTATTAGCATTTAATTAAAATTTGAATCTATAAGGAAAACAATTTGACATGAAGAGATGGATTTTTTTTTAACTCCTATATGTTTATTGCAAGTTTCTAATCCATCTTTTGGGCTGTGTAAAGGGAAAGACAGTCTGCTTCTAAGTAGTTAGCAGCTTGATCTTGAATAGTCAAATCACAAGGACAAAATTCAAGCTATAAACACTATATTTTTAAGGTAAGATCAGATTTTGTGAGAAATACCTGCTTTACAATACAGATAGAAGCATGCCTGCCATTGTCATCCTTTGCCTGTCAGTAAGAGTGTTGGTTTTGCCTGAAGATAAACCCATTTTTTTAAGCTTGGAAAACATTTTCCAAAACATTATGATAATATAAACCCTGTTCAGTAATAAAATCCAGAAATAACTGAAGTGGCCATGGACTTACACTTTGACAAAGGATTTCAGCATTATGTCATCAATGTTAAAAACAGTAACAATTAAATTTTTGCTCATCTTATTTTGATTTAGTGGGTAAGACTGGAACTGACTTCAACTACCTGAAGATCTGTAAGTTCCAGAGGCAATATTGTACCTACAACTGTTCAGTGTTGTGTTTTACAGCCCGAAACAAACTTTGCTCTGCATGAAAGGCAAAGCATCATAGACAGTTCCCACTTAAGAACATCATCAAACATCTGCACAATCTGTCTAGTGAGCAGCCAGCTCATTTCATCCCTGAAACTCTGCATGAGAAACACACATTCTTGTTGTTACATGGCAACTTCAAAACAACAAGCAATCCTTTCTGACACAAACCCTTAGAACTGTTTTCTGCAAAAAAGAAGAACAAGTGGAAGAGAGCCACATTTAACAACTCCAGCATTTGCAAATAGTTATGACAGTCTGTAATGTTGCAACTTGTTTTTAAAACAGCTATTTTAGGACATGCACATTTAATGATCATTCTCTTGGTCTTAGAGAGATACTGACTGAACAAGACATCATCCTGTAGACACACTATATAGGGTATGGGATTGTAAAACAAGTTATACAAGAGATCATGAAACTATAGAACCTCAAAGGAGACACTCTTTTTTTCTGGTACAGAGAAAAAAATCTTTTACTTGTCAGACACTCCCTTTGTAATGTCTAAAACATAATTAGTAAACTGTTTTGAGTCTAGACATTTTTAAATTTAAAGAAAAATGACTTACCCAATTTTCCTCTAGACTAAAAATGAAAATGCACCACTCTGTCCCTGATTTTTATAACCTTCTGCACTCCTTCCCTCCTGGCTGGTGTGTGGATCCCCTTTCTGCCTGGATCACATGAAAGCGTTCTATTAATGTGAATTGGCTGATGTTTGAGAACACGATGCTGGAGAGCTGTGAAGTGTAAGGAATCTGACCCAGGGAGCTGTGGGGCTATGACACATCAGTTCTTCACAGAATTCTCAGTTGCTGGATGGGAATGCCACGGGACAGGTCCTGTGTGCTGGGTGCACACGTTGGCACTGTGTTGTTGTTGTTGTTGTTGGGATATGGATTCCCTAAAGGCAGGGAGACAAGTTCCATGTTCAACCAATGCAACTGGGATTCTACCCTCTGGCTTTTTCCTCCAGGACTGTAACTTCCAGCTATCAGGCTGTCCTTTTCACTGACCTCGCAAGCAAAGGTTGGGATAACAGCTCAATTCAGCCCGTGACAAATGTAAATAAAACAGCGCCGCTGCTTTATATATTTTTAACAAAACCACATTTATATTTTAAATAAAACCACTACGAGGCAGCGCTGCTCTGCACATTTCCTAAGCAGTGCCTCGCTGGAGCTCAGGATAAACACTGAAAGCCTGGGAATTTCTAGCAGATTACCTGGCAGGATGGAGAGAAGGAAAAAGAAATCTTCTGCCCCCGTTGCATTCTTCATCCCTTTGCCTGTGTTCGGGCAGAAGAGAGGGAATGAATGCAGCTTTGTCTTTGCCCTGGTGGGATGTGATGGAGCTTTCAGCCGCTGCTTTACATGGGGTGCTTGGAGCTGAGTGTGACACGGGTGAGCCTTTTGGGGGGCCAGCCCATGTCACCCCAGCACAGAGCTCAGCCACAAACCCCAAAGCACATGTCACTGCCGGAGGAAACCCACAGCAATCGCAGAAATGGCCTTTAAGCAGAGCGTGTTTTCACTTACATGGTGCTTTTGGAAAGTCCTCCTTTGGAGTATACTGCTCCAGAAAGGAAAAAAAACATTGCTTTCCTAATAGGTTGTGAGCTACAGGCCTTTAAGCATGTAAACATAAATAATATAAATACAAAGACAAATACAAATACAAATATAATATATAATATATCCACATCAGCACAAGATATGAAGAAACGATTGCTGGGATAGGATTAAACCTGTCCCAGAAGTGCTTAGGCTTAATTTCGCATGGTATTGCCAAAGTTTAAGAGGTGATAATTTCTATAGACTGCTATAAGAAATAGTGAATTTATGGATTTTCTGTGAAGACAGAAATGATTAGCATATTAAAATTTTTATGTCCAAAAAATTGCCATGCAGTTATGCAAAATATGTGCACAAATCTTTAGAACACTTATTGGCTTTCTGCTTCTGCAAAAAGCTGACATTGTTCAGCATTTGCTTTTAATTTGTTTATTCCATTCAAGATGTTCTGGATGGACCACCAAGGCTGCAGTGGTCTGGCTATTTTCCACTCTGAGGCACCACTGATACATGTAGATATTTCCTACTCCTTCTTGCAATTATATTTTATTTTATTTTATTTTATTTTATTTTATTTTATTTTATTTTATTTTATTTTATTTTATTTTATTTTATTTTATTTTATTTTATTTTATTTTATTTTATTTTATTTTATTTTATTTTTCTACATTGCTGTCTGATTATAGGGAAAAGTGGAAGGTTTTCAGCATTTTGGTCTTCAGCAGCATGATTTCCACATGTTGTTGTTGTAGCGACCTGGGGTCAGTCTTTCACTTCATGAACCATCCAAGTCCTTAAAAAGAAAGGGATTCTGGTGCCAGTGAGGGTTTGATCCTAAAAGGATTTTTTCCTTGACATCTCACCAAACTGGGATCTCTTTTTTTTTTTTTTTCATAGTTCTATTAATAATTGTTCTTTCATATGTCTCTGAAAATCCCTTCTTAGACTGGCACAATGCATATGATGATGTGATGGGCTGTAACCCAATCCACACTTCTGAGGGAATATCTGCTGCCAGATTTTCACCCCCACAGGTTTATCTGTAAATACAGAAATAAAAGCTGCTGCAAGAACCAAGTATACTAATTCACACTTTTGCATTACTAAAACAACTTTTTAAAATTAGCTACACTCATTAAAAGAGTTTCTCCTCATCAGTGTTTGCTTGCAGAGCTGGCAGCTGAATGCCAAATATCTAAGATGTTTTATTTCTGATGTTTTCAATTAGTGCAGGACCCATTTGAAATACCAGGATTAACTTTATATCAGGAACAGCCATCACTGGGCAACAGGTCCTGTGTTGCCATAATTTTAGACAACTAATTTCTTGGTTTATATCTTCATCCTGAACAGGAACATTTATTTTGGTGTATTCAAGGGAAATGCAAAAAGGTTTATGCTTTAAAATCATAAGCAACACTCCTGACTAAAAGGTCTCATTTAAAAACAAATATTTTTCCATTAATGCCTGGGAACATCTGCTAACAAATCAGGGATACTCACATCAGGAAGCCAATTTCCAGAATGGGACAGGTGAATAGATTTGGCAGTAAATGAAGCAGTGGTAGCTCCACATTTTAGGGGCTCTAGGTAAGAGCAACGTCGTGCTGGGCAGCTCCCAAGCTGAGATGCACTGTGAATCCCTCTTGTAATTCACTGCTCAGCACCATAAAAAAACACATTATTGCTCTGTATTTGGTGAAAATGTAAATTGACTTTTGTTTGCTGAAATACAGTACCTGTATGATCATGGTATATACAAATTGTATAATGTTAGGAGTTAAAATTCAGTTGGAGATCTGCTGCTAAATACCAGAAACTCTACAGTCATTTCTGCACCCTGAGAGGAACAGAAGAGGGAATGATGAAATCTGCACACAGTGAAACTCTCCTGTTAGATCAAAATGTTTATTTTAGGATTCCTCTATGTGACTCTTATCACTTCAATGAAAATAAGGTTTGATGTATATGCATGAATGAGAACTGAATGCACATCAGATAAAAAATAATCTTGGTGTGTAAAGACACCTGGAAAATCTTGCAGTTAGATGCATGTAGGGCATTTTTTCACTTACCATTTTCACTGTTGACAGTAACAATTGACAGACACATAATAGCAAGGAAAGCAGAGATCTGATCATCTGGCCAGCCAGAACTCTCAAAACAAAAATGCAGGGCAATGTCTTGAAATATTGCAAAATGTTGAGTTCTTATTAAGCATGGTGAGATGACAGTAAAAAATTGTAATTCACATTTGCTAAGCCTATATTTGCATCCTGAATATTTTTTACCACATGTTTGTGTTCTGCAGTGTACAATGGGCCCTGGTCTTGTTTGGATCCTCTCTTGAGCCTTTCTGTGTCAGCATCCAAAAGCAAATTACTCATATTGAATTTGCAATGCAAATTTGACAGCACTCCACAAGTCACACAAAGAATAGAAAATGGTTCAAGAGTTCAAATATAATTTATTAATGTTCAGCTGAAGTATTACATATTTTAAACATATATTTTGAAAGGTAGGTTGTGCATAGTTGCAGTCTGTTGTCCAGCTGAAGTATTGGTTTGGGCAAACGGAACTAGATCCATGTCTATATATTTAGTCAAGCTGAACTATGAAGATGTTTAAGAAAATACTCCCAAAAATACCTTGAAACCCCCACCACAATAATTAGAACAACATAATAGTATTATTCAGGAATGAAGGGCTAAGTGTTATGATTTATATTTTGCAGGGACCAGCAGGACCAGGAAAGTGATGATCCCCCTGATCTCGGCATTGGTGAGGCCACACCTCAAGTGGCACATTCAGCGTTGGGCCCTTCACTATAGAAAGGACATGGAGGTGCTGGAGAGCTCCAGAGAGCTCTTCCAAGGCATGGCTGAGGGAGTGAGGGTTTTCAGCCTCAAAAAAAGGATGTTCAGGGGACCTTCATCACTGTCCACATGCTGACCTGGAGGAGGGTGCGGCGAGGTGGGACCGTTCTCTGCTCTGCCTGCAGTGAGACGACCAGGAGAAATGGCTTTAAGCTGAGACAGGGGACATTCTGGTTAGAGATCAGAAAATTTTTAGGCACTTTGGCATTAGGAATAGGTTCCCAGGGAGGTGGTGGAGTCAGCATCCCTGGAGGTGTTCAGGAGGAGCTGGGTGATGTCCTTTAGGGGTTACAGTGACAATGCTGGGTAGGCACTTGGACTGGATGATCTTGAAGATCGCTTCCAACCCTGATGATTCCATGATCCAAACTAGACAGTCCTTAAAGTCCCTTCTAACCCAAACCATTCTATGGGCCTTTAATTTACTTCATTTGCCAGAGCACAGATCCCTGCTCAGTGACTAAAGCAGGCGATTCCACAGACACATCCCTGCATTAGAGGCTCTGGGACAACAGCAGCGCCCTTTTCCCCTCTCACTTCTCCCCGCTCCCCTCAGCTGTTGGCTGCCTCACGGACCCATTATTAAAGGCGCTGGGACAATGGGATCACCCCTTTCCCTCACTTCTCCCCGCTCCCCTCAGACTTTGGCTGCCTCACAGACCCATTATTAGAGGCGCTGGGACTATGGGATCACCCTTTTCCCTCACTTCTCGTTCCCCACAGATGCTGGCTGCCTCACGGACCCATTATTAGAGGCGCTGGGACAATGGGATCACCCCGTTCCCTCACTTCTCCCCGCTCCCCTCAGACTTTGGCCGTCTCCACCTCCCGCCTCCCGCCCCGCGGGTCTCCGCGCCCGCAGCGCCCTCCCGCGGCGGCGATGGAGCCGCGCCCGCAGCGGAGCGGCCTCGGCGGCCCCGCCCGCGCCGAGCTCCGCGCACCGCCCGTCGCCGCTCACAGCGCCCGGCCCCGGGCAGCGACCGGAACTCCGAGGAAGGAAGGAAACGTAAAGGAACGTTGAGAGATCGGTAACGTCAGAAAGGCCCAACCCCGTTTGCTGCGCAACAGACCGCGCAGAACCGGGGCGGCAAGCAGCGCCAATATGGAAGATCGCGAGCAGAACGCAGCGGCTCAGCGACCACCGGCGGTGCCCGCAGACCCCTCCACGAAGATCCTCTGAGGTTCTTCACTGCGCAGGCTCGACTCGGTGCGCGCATCCCGGGGAGGCCGGCGGAGCGGCGAGGCGGGCTCATCCGGGCCGCATCCCGCGGTCCGGGCTGACAGCCGCCGCGGCCGCCATGTCGCACGACGGCAACAGCGGCGAGTCCCCGCCGGCCTCGCGCCGCCGCCGCTCGCGCCCGCCGCAGGCGCAGGAGCGCGCGGCGGAGGAGGAGGCGGCGGAGGAGGAGGCGGCGGAGGAGGAGGCGGCGGGCGAGAGGCTCCGGCAGCTGAGCGTCGGTGACGGCGACGACAGGGAGCACAACAGGATGATCCGGAGCCAGTACCGGCAGCTCATCTCCACCGTGCAGCGTAAGGAGGCGGCCAGGGGAGCGCCGGGGCCGCGCCTGAGGCGGTCCGCGATGGCGGCCGGTCCCGGCCGTGTGGGGAAACGTGTGGGAGCGTTCCTGGCAACTCCGGGCGGTCCTCGGGCCGCCGATGCGCTGGGTTTGGACTCTGAAAGAAATTCCACTCCCAAGGAAGCATGGAATCGCAAATCATGTTTGGCTGGAAGGGACCTGACGGGTATTCTCCTTCCAACCGTGGCAGGGACACCTTCCACCATCCCAGGCTGCTCCAAGCCCTGTCCAGCCTGGCTTTGGACACTTCCAAGGATCCAGGGGCAGCCACAGCTTCTCTGGGCACCCTGTGCCAGGACCGCCCCACCCTTGCAGGGAAGAATTTTTTCCCGTATCTGAACATACTCTCCTTCAATTTGATGCCATTCCTGTGCAGAGTTCCTCTCTTGCATCCCCTGGGATAGCGAGGTTAGGAGGGATTTAGCTGCACTAACACACATGTGGTGCCTGCATTGGTGCAGGGGAACAGTCGGCTTAAGGCCTGGAGATACAGCGAAATCCTTTAATTCCACTTTCATGGTGTCTGAGCTTTAGTTTGAAACTGCAGGTATCATTATGTGCCTGGACTGGAAAGTTATTCTTGGGACTTCCAAAAATGCTATGTAGTTTTTAGCATCTCTCCAGACAGGTGTGTGAGTCCTTCTCCTATGTGCATTTGAGTGAGTTGTGCTGTTTTCCTCACAAAAATGTGGTCAGTAGCACTACCAAGTTCAGCAATACGTGGGATTAGTTATTTTGTGAATACTTGATACATTTGTGCAGTTGCTTTGCAAGAAGCTACAGTGCAGTTTGTGGGTGATCCAGCCTGTTTATGGAACTGACCAAGTGTACAGTTGGCTGGTTTGTTTTTTTCATGGAAATTTCACTCATTTCCCCAAGTTGAGCCTGTCTTGCTAGTGAGGTAACTGGTGGGTGATCTCTCTCTTATCTAGGCCCACAAGCTTTTTGTTCTCTTTTCTCTCCTTGGCCCAGTTGAGTGATGGATCTTTGGTGGGTACCTGGCCTCCATTCAGCATCAAACAAGCGTTTCCCAGAGCTTCTTTTTTAACTAATTCAGGATTTCCTTTGTGTCTTTTCCCACAGAAAATCGAGAAGCCATGCTGAATTCAAGAAGCAACAGGCTAACAGAAGCTTTGGAAGAAGCCAATAGACTTTTTGATGGAGGTAAAACAAATTCAGTAGTCTTCCATTGATGTGTTTGGCCAAGCATGGGGCGATGATGCCTTACAAACAAAAGAGGCAAAGAGTGAAGTTGAGGTCCAAGTACTTCATCAGAATTTTGTATAGCTTAAAATAGATATGTTGAGTTGAAGATTGGTTGAGTAAGTTGATGTGAGAAAACAAATGTCATTGCAGTTTATTTGCTCTTAGAAATAATTCCTTGCTTTATTTTGATTCACTGGAACAGTGTATATCAGTAATACACATAAAAGATATTAGTATAGAGGGGTTCATTTCACTTGGAAAGTGGAAAACATGTTGATTAAAAAATGCATTTGTTGTTCAAGATCGTGTGTTACTCTTCCATGGTTTGTCATTCTTTCCTTTTTTTTATGATGATTATGTAAGTGTGTTAGAGGTCATTTCAATAAAAGGATTTCCAAAGCACTTAAGCCAGGACAGTCCCTATGCTGAATCTGATAATTCTCTTTGTGACAATTTTATATTAATCACCACAAAATGTTTTCTGTACCAGTTTGCCGTGCACGGGAGGCTGCACTGGATGCCCATTTCCTCGTTATAGCCTCCAATATAGGAAAGGAGAAGGCCAGTGAGTTACACTCAGAGATGTCAGCATTTGATTCAACAGCATTTGCAGAAGACTTGGTAAGTTCCAGGCTCTGAATTTGCCAACATTTCTACTGGAGGTTTGCCCTGTTTGTTACAGAGCCATAAAGCCTCAGATTGTCAGACAGTACATGGCAATTCTGGTGGAATTTAATGCTCTTCCTATGAATTTCTTTGATAAACCTTCTGGTGACTGTTGTTAATTGTCTTAAACTGCATATTAAGCACTTGCAATAGGGGAAGATTTGACTTGAAATGCAGACACCTCCCCCATTATTGGACTGCTGCTGCTGCTTTATCACAGCCCAGTCAGCTCGTGCTCTTAAAGTTTTCTGCTCTTTTTTCAGTCACTCTTCTGTAATTTCTCAGTAGCTAAGTAGTTTCTTTATCCTGTCCACTGGTTTCTGTGTTTCCGGATAGAGTTCTTGAGGCCGTGTCACTGACATGACATGGGACTTTGGGACACTTGAATGCTTTCAGGCTGGACAGTTTGTTTCTTTGTACTGGGGGGAGGAGTCGGATCAGAGCAGCTTTTAAGCAGGATGTTGGCTTCTTTCCTCCTTGAAAATGCTCCCTTGTGTTACAGCAGATCAACAGAGAATCTTGAGTGTTTGCTTAAGTCTATAAAAAACGTAAAGTTCAATTAAAAATTTGTCTTGAGTGTGGACTGGTGGATGCAGGGATAGGCCAGATAAGTTCTATGATGTTTGAAGGGCTGGGCTTCCTGTGAGTGTGTAGTGTTCAAAAACTTCTGAGACATCTGAGCTCTGAAGTGCGATATGAGTAAACTTCACACACCACTGAAAATGTGTTGGAATCTAAGCAGTTTTGTTCACTTACGGCTTTCATTGGTTGCTGAACACAAGGGTGAATTTGAGTGCTTATCTGTTTTCATGAAAGTCAAAGCTGCTAGGCAGTGGCATTAAATACGAATTTATTAGCCACACACCAGAATTCAGTGTTTCACCATGAATGTATCTACTGGTTCACCTCTAAGTGAATTTTTATTGCAGCTTTTTTTCTTTTGCAGCTGACCTTCATGGGTATAAATCGCACCGAAGTGGAAGAAACGGATGAATCTGAGGATGTTCCAGGTGGTTTTTTACCTACTGATGCCTGGCAGACAATAGGAGAAGAAGCACCCAAGTACTTCAGAAGAGCACCTACTTTTCACTACATGTAAGTGTCTTCAAGGAGATAGTGTGTACTGCAGCTCAGGGTAATGGCCTTAACTGATTCTTGTGTTGATGCCCTGGCTTTACATGAGTTAAACTGAAGTCACAGCAGAGTGTTGACAAGGTGTGAGGCTGTCAACATACTGGAACAACTTTTGGGGATGGTTCTTTGCAGAAATCTGTAAATGTGGTGAAGGTATCAGTCATCACTTTGCACTTGCTTGAGGAGATCAGTGTAAAGATTCCTAAGCATACAGTGTAAACCAGATTTTCATGTGTGTGTTCTTTGTGTTTTGGTTAGGATGGGATCTTTCAAGTCTGAGCCTCCTGTACCAAAGCAACGGATTGAGAGGCAGAAGAAAGCTAGCAGAGGCAAAGCAGAACGGGCAATGCCTGCTCAGGTTTGTTAAGTGTTATCTTCATTAACCATTTGTTCTGGCATAGTTATTAAAAATTACTTCTCAATCTTGTAGTTTGTTTGGTTTGGGTTTTGTAATTATAAACTGTGTAGCATTTATGACATCCCACCCTTAAGGGGAAGGGAGCATCCATGAACCACAGATGCTTGTGCTGTGCTTGTCTCCAGGAGCAGAACAAGGACATTTGTCCCAGAAAGGGGCTGCCCTACCTTCACATGGCTCTTTCTTTTACAGCTATATCCTGTTGTTTCTCACTGTGTGTGATTACCAGCACTCCTGGGTTCTTATTGCCAACAATCCTTCGTTGGCTCCACAGCTGTCCAGCTGGAGTTGGAGGCACACACATCAACCCTTTGCCTCCTGAGCTTCTACTAAAGGATTCAGACTCCATTATTAGGTTTCTTGATTTGTTTTGACTGCAGTATTTCACTGAGTGGAAGGAAATAGGATTTACACTCCAATTTTGTGCTCAGAAGTAGGGTTTACAAACTGATTTTCAAGTTAGAGCCTCTTGCTTTGAAAGGAAACAGAAAAGAAACTTCTTTACATTAGTGTGGTTTCCATTTTTCTTTAAGAAGTGTCTAACAGGATGTGACATTTGCACTAAATGTGGTTAATAGCAGCAAGTGAATTAGCTCACATAACCACTTTTTTGTATTTTCTGTTTTCTTATTCTTTGTGTCATTCACTGGCAGAAAAGCAAGTCTGGGAATATTGAAAGAGGCTTATATCTGAAACTGCAAATATAATCCATGTTGTTACAGGGAAGCTGAGGCTGTGATAATGCTGGGATATAGAGACAAATGGTTGATTGATTTTAAAAGGCAGCCTACTCAATCCAAATAACCATAGAAAGGATTTGTTACAGTTTCTACTGGGAAGAAGAGGAGCTGGAAGGTTTGTGGGTTGCTTACAAATGCTGATCTTCATTCAACTCACAGACTGTAGCATTGTGTAACCCTCAGAGCTCCTCAGAGCTCCTCAGAGCCATTGAAAAGTAAGTGTACACCTGTACACAAGCTCAAAACATACAAGCCATGGCCTTTCAGTTTGATATTGTAAGATTGGAATAAAAACCTAAAGCTCTTCAAGGTTGTCTCATGTTTGCATAACTGTGTTTGTTATATTGCACGTAGAGAGAAAAATTCAACTTTTATGTTACACGTTCAAAAGAGTACCTTTGCATATTTTGGTAATTCAACAGCAGTTTTTTGAGGTGAATCTCTCTTTCCTTTTCCCAGTTAAAAAAAATGGAAGAGTCTCATCAAGAAGCTACAGAAAAAGAAGTAGAGAGGATCTTGAGAATACTGCAGACTCACTTTGAAGATGATCGTAAGTATGGTTAAATTAAACATTAACTAGAGAAAATGAATATTCTGTGTCTTCTACAGTTTGGAGTGGTAAAACTACAGAGACAAAATGAGATGAAGTCTGCAAGTAGAAATCTTTGGTGAAGCACATAGACCAACCATGTATTTTTTATGAACACTAATCAGCTGTTGTTTGACTGCAAAGTAAATGTAAATCCTCTCCCCTGATTAAAGCCTGCCACTTTTAGATGGCAGTCAAATACTCAAATATATGGATTTGTGTGGGGGAAAAGATGGAAGAAAATATACTCTATAAAACATTTGTTTTTGCTAGCAGTGGGAATTCTGGATTGTAACTAAATTGATAAACACCCTTTAGATTTTGAAAGGTGCAACGTCTCTCTTAAGTTTGTATTTACATCTGTTAGCTCTGTGTATACCACCTGTTGGTTTGTTTGTTTGTTTGAACAAAGCTATTTTTGCATCCCCAGCTAATACACCCATTTCCTTCTTTGATTTTGTCATTGATCCGAACTCGTTTGCACGCACTGTGGAAAACGTGTTTCATGTGTCCTTCCTTACCAGGGTAAGGCATGACATCTTTTTAAAATATCACTTTAGATACTAGAATTACCTAGAAATGGCTGGTTTTTTTCTGGCTTCGATATTGAAAATTAAGGATTGAAATATGAGGAGTACTAATTTATTTTCTGGGAACAGTCTGCGATATTTTGGTAATCAAATTAAAAAGGAAACAGAGTTGACTAACTTTATTTTTTTGCACTGCAATCTATTTACCAACAAAACACGAATGATATTTTTACAGTCAATATGTTTATCAAAAAATATTCTGGCTCACATTTTCTGCACATATAGAAAAGCTCTCACAGAGTATGGAAGAGTTACTGAGGCTGTAGAAAACTATGTTAGTGCAAGGTTTTATATTCTTTTTGAATCCGTGGATTTGCACTTCAACACTATGCTTGGTTGGTCAAATAAATAAAATTAATTCTAGAAAATATGAAAACTGCCAAGGATATTTTGACTAATTCAGGTCTTACATTGAATATAAATGTTATTATAAAGGGTTAGCTCAAGTATATTTAGAGAATAACAGCGACTTTAATAAAGCATAACTTTTATAATCCAGCAGTTGCTATATGGACTACCTTCTTTATAGATAAGTACTGTATTAAACTATTTTTTTCTTATGTGGTATGCCAGTGAAGATTCTTTATTGGTATATATACCTGTTCATGATTATGCAATAAGTAAAAATATGAAATTTCAGTGTATTATCCTAACTGGAAAACTCTAAGTTACAAAACTTTAAATCCCACTGTTTTTTAGGATGGTCTTGCAAAAATAAAGCTGGATGAAGATAAATTGCCAGTAATAGGTAAAATCTAGCTTTAAAATACTCTAATTGGTTTTTGTAACAACGTGACATCTTATGTGTTCCCAGAGTTTTAGGTATATTTCTAACTGGGGATATACAGTGAATGTAATTGAAGGCGTGAAGAGATTTATGAGCAGCTGAAAGGATTGAGTCTTTTCAAATACCAGTGTATGGAAAAAGATCATTATGCTGATTTATACAAATTTATTCTATTAATAGAAATCAAATGTTATTGCCTTTCAAATTATACTTTTTGCTAATAAGTACATGAACATTATTACACTTGGCTGAAAAAAGATACCTTTGGGTGTAAGAACTCTCTTGCCTCAGAGTTGGGAACTGCTGCAGCTTCAAAACAGTTGGAAGGGAAATTCTTCATTGTTGAATGAAGAATTCATTCTCCATTCTTCATACAAGGCTGGCTTTCATAGGATATCAGTGGGGTTAGCACTTTGGTGGGATATTGTAAGGAATTAAATATTTAGGTCCTTCTGAAAAAAAGTTAATTCCTAAATTTTTAAGACGTGAGACTAAGGAAGTATCTCAATCAATACATGGTACAGGCTGTTGATAGAGACTGAGTGGGTGGAGTGTGTAGGAGTGATCTGATTTTTGTGGAGCTTTTGTGTTCCTGATGGAAACTGGCTTTACAAGTCCTGCAAATGCTGTGTTTTGATCAGAGCCTATAAAACCCAGCGAGGGAGGAGAAGAGGACAGCAGAGCTGCAGCACGGAACCAGGTGGTCATAAGTCTGAACCAGAAAGAATGGAAGGTACCACGGAGAGCACTTCATACTTTGGATCAGTTGTTTTTTATTTAAGCCTCTGAGAGCTGTGCTGGGGAGGGCAGGTCTTCTGTGTACAGAAACACTGAAGCATTTGACCTTATGGATGCCAGAACAATCACAGATCTAAGGGATGTTTGTAGCTGCAGGAAAACTGAGAATTTGCGTTGTGATTCCATATTTGATTCCTGAAGCCTGGTCAGTTTAAGTGCTTTGAAGCTGTGCACTGACTTCACTGTTTTATACAAGGCCTGGGTAAATATGGAATCTGTTTCTTCCCTTATGTACAATACTTGTCTCTGGAGGCAAAGTTATCCATGCAGTTTCCTCACTGGAATAAATCTTAGACAGAAAGTACTTCTCCTTTGTCCCTCACTCAGAATGTGCAGGAGAGATGTAATTTGAAATAGTGCTTTAGTATCAGAAATTTTATTACTTGCTGGTGGTGATTCAATTCAAATAGTCCAGCTCTGTTGACTGACTCACTGCTGTCATCTCTAACAGGAGATCATAGAAACATTTCAGATAAGAGAAGCCATGATTACACCTCCTTATCAAGCCACTGAAGAGGAAATGGAGACAGAATAACTATTAAGTAAGTTCTTTTAACAAAGCAAACTCAGTAAGTTCCTTATGCATGTGGGAGAACTTCAGGGAAGCTGCGTGTGACTTAAAAGTGCAGAAGAACTGTGAGCAGGGTGACTGTAACATCTGGATTTGCTGTGTTCTTGCCCTCTTCATGAAACAAAACGTAATCTAGCCTTGTATACAAATGATAAACTAGGGAAAAAACCCTTTGAGCTTGATGGTCAGTTAAGTGATGCATTATTTTTTGGAACTTTATACTCAAAATGCAGTGTTGAAAGGAATCATAGCTTAGTTTTTCTGCTTGGTTTCTTAACTTCCTGACAGCTGATGTTGTTAATAAAGTAGTCTGAAGAAGGACTTAGAGGGAACCAGGCTGTCTTCCCTTCTGCTTCCAGAAAATTCTTCCCATGATAGGAATGAAGTCCTTACTGTCACAGTTGTTTGCTCAGCTCCAGATCTTAATGCATGTTGTCTTACTGTCTTCTCTTTTTTGTTTTTCTTTCTCCTTAGGTGCCTTAAAGAAAATACTTCAGAACATTTGTTTCAACAATTGTTTTATATGTATATGTTGTAAAAATAAATTTATTTTTTCTGGAACATCTAGATGCTTTATACAAGCTGCTTTGTTTAGAACCATGAATGGGTTGGGTCAGAAGGGACCTTAAATCCCATCCAGTGCCACCCCCTGCCATGGCAGGGACACCTTCCACTATCCCAGGCTGCTCCAAGCTGTGTCCAACCTGGCCTTGGACAAAAGAGGGACCCAGGGGCAGCCACAGGTGCTCTGGGCAACCTGAGGAAGTTTAGGCTTGTCACAGTTATTTATATATTACGGCTCAGTTTGCTATTTCATACGAAGTTTACTGGCACTGATGAAAAAGGGAAAAAGGAAACACTGTCCCTTCTTTCCACCCTTGTCTCACCCCAGCAGCAGCAAGTGGAAGTCACATGGTTAAACATCCCTGCTGGGATAATCTGGCAATTCTACATGATTTTGGGTGCTGCAGGAGAATTGATACTGCCCTGCTGTTCTTGCTATTCTGGAAACAAAGGTTTCAGTTTGGAAATTCAGTCTTAGTTACAGATAGCAGTTCCACCTTCCTTTATTTCAAACTACTCCTGTATTTGTTTGGTACTTTGGGCATTGACCAGGCCAGCTCTATGGGGCCACAACATTATTTTATAAAAATACTTATGTGGAAGTCTTGTTCCATTTTAGAAAGCGCTCTGTGGAAGAGCTCAGGATTTCTTGCACCCTTTTATCCAGCTGTAGCAGCTGAGGGGGATACCCAGGGCTCCATCCCCGCGGGGGAGGCTGTGCGGGCACGGCCCGGGAGCCGCAGCGCCGCTCGCTGCTCCCTCAGCGATCCGCCCGCGGGGGAGGCCGGGCCGGGCCGGGCGTGGCGGAGGCGCTGCGGGGCCGCGGCGCCATGCCCGCCGCCGTGGTGGAGTACAAGGGATGGAAAGAGGGCTACGGCTGCGGCTACTGCGGCGCGGCGCGGGGCAAAGTGTCCGCGGGTGGGTGAGCGGGGCCGGGGGTGGCGGTCGGGCCGGGCTCGGGGCTCCCTCAGCCCCGCCGCGCTGCCCGCGCGGAACATGGCGGCGCCGGCGCTTCCTGCGCGCTTCCTGCGCGCGCCGCCCGCAGCAAAGATGGCGGCGGGTGCCGCTTCCGGGCGGCCCGGGGCGCTGACCTGAGGCGGGCGGGGATGGCGGCGGGCGGCGGCTCGCCGAGCATCGTCGAGTTCTTCGGCGGGGAGGATGGCTACCGCTGCGGCTACTGCAGGAGCGACACCGGCAACCTCTCGCACGGTGCGGGTGGGGCGGGCTGGGAGCGGGGCCGCCCGCGGCTGGCCGAGAAGCGGCGGGGCCGGGGAGGGCGGCCGGGGGCTGCTGCCGAGCCGCCGCCTGTCCCGGCTGCCCAGCGGTGCTCCCGAATGAGTGTGACAGGACTGAGCAGCGATTTTGTGTTGTTTTCCGTTTATATTTCTGGGAGTGGGAGGTGCAGAGGGGAACTTAGCGCTGGTGTGGTCAGAGAAATCTGGTTGATTGCGTCCCAAGATTTGTGTTGGGCTTAGGGTTTTTGCATATAGCGTGGTTATTGAAATAAGTAATTACGGTGTACGTGTCAAATCTTTGAAAGACATCTATGCATAAGTGGCCATTAGCTGCTCAGATTTGCAGTAACCACAGAATAACAGAATGGTTTGTGTTGGGAGGACCTTAAATTGCACCCAGTGCCATTTCTGGGACACTTTTTTCCCTGCCCCAGGCTGCTCCAAACCCCATCCAGCCTGGCCTTGGGCACTTCCAGGGATCCAGGGGCAGCCACAGCTGCTCTGGGCACCCTGTGCCAGGCCTGCCCACCCTCCCAGGGAACAATTCCCAATTCCCAATATCCCACCCATCCCTGCCCTCTGGCAGTGGGAGCCATCCCCTGTGTCCTGTCCCTCCATCCCTTGTCCCCAGCCCCTCTCCAGGAGCCCTTCAGGCTCTGAGCTCTCTCCAGGTGAGCACCCCCAGCTCTCCCAGCCTGTCCCACAGCACAGGGGCTCCAGCCAGTTCTGCAGAGTTTGTTCTATTTTAAAGCCAAACCACGGTCAGTCAAGTGTGCTGCTGTGTTTTTTATTGCAGGTATGTGGGCACATTCGATGACAGTTCAAGATTACCAGGATCTCATAGACAGAGGATGGCGAAGGTACATTGGAAAAGAAAATACAAAGCCATGTTGTCGGTTGAGATTAAAGTTAGAATCCACATTTAAAGTTTAGATCTATAGAAAAACTTAAATATCCATGAGTAATTGAACTATTTGTCCAGTGCTCTGTGACCTTTTGTAACATGACACTGTCAAACAGGAAAATATTCAGTGATTTTACAAAGTTAATACAGTCAGCAAAGAACTGAAGAACTTGCTCTTTGACTTTTCATCATGAAATGTTTTGATGTGATTTTTATAAAAAAGCTTCTTCATTTATTTTGTAGCATAAACAACAAAAAAATCAATGCATATTTATTATTGTTTCAGAAGTGGAAAATACGTCTACAAACCTATCATGAATCAAACATGTTGTCCTCAATACACAATAAGGTAAGAAACTCAAAGTACACTTTTGTAAGGGATTTGACCACTTCAAATATGTTTCATCATTTATGTTTGCTGCTTGAAATACATCATATTTAAGAAGCTGATCTACTTTTAATGATACTTTGAACACTAAACATGTGCTCTTGGGTTTGTGCTTAGGGACATCAGCAGCTCTGGGATATTTTCCTGTAAGGAATCTTGTCTGTAACCCACAAACACTGCTTTGAGAGTTTAAGAGAGGCTTACATTTGTATTTTAGTAATTCTAGAGATACATAAAAAATATGCCATAAGGGCTGATATTATTCAGTAGAAGACAAGGTCATTTCATTATCTCAAAGTGTTGATAAAACATTTGACAACTCTGTATAGGGAAACTTAAGAAATAAATAGAGATTACAATGTAATTTTTGTAAATGGTTCCTTAACCTTTTTTTTCCTGAAACAATCTTTCACAAAAGAAATGTTTTTTTTTTTTTAGGTGCCGGGCTTTGCATTTTCAGGCCTCCAAGTCCCACAAGAAGGTTCTGAAGAAAATGTTGAAATTCATTACCAAAGGAGATGTTTCGAAAGTAGCGAGTGAAGGTAGGAAACACTGAGTGTTTGAAAACCAATACTGATGGAAGGAGGATTTAAATTCCTGCTTGAGTGGTCAGATGGCAAATGGGCTTTGAATTATTTGTGTAGACCCCTGGCTGGGCTGTTCTTGAGCACTTCAGTAACCCAGAAGGCAAATAGTTCAGGTGGCTGGGGTTATTGAAGAAAATATTTCCTTACTTTTTCCACAGAGCAGCTTATTTTCCTGGGCATGTCCTCACTTTCTAGCTGGGTGCTGTAGAGAATTAGATGCTGTTTTTACTTCTATCATGAAACTGATAATCTGGAGAGGATTAACTAGAGCAGATGGTGGCATAGAAAAGGAAGAGCAAACAAAGAGGGTTTTTCCAGTCACCCTCCATTTATCTAGCAGCAAACCTAGCAATTCTTCATAGTGGTGAAACTTGTATTGGTTCTGAATGATTATAATCTGCTTGTT